GGCAGCAGCAGCAAGGGAAGCAGTAGCAGCAGCAGCAACAGCAGAATAGAGGTCCGCAGCAGCAGCAGCAAGCATCTCCTCTCAGCAGCAAACCACAGATGCTGTGTTCTCTTGGTTGCTGCCGCTGGACGACGAACAAATTCAAAGCGTAGTGAAGCTGCAGCAGCAACAGCAGGAGCTGCAGCAGTAGCATGGGCAGCAGCTGCTGCTGCTGCAGCAGTAGCAACAGCAGAAGCAGCAGCAAGTGCTGCAGCTGCTACACAGAGAGAAGCAGCAGCAGCCGCAGCACTGACACATACGTTCTGACTGCTGAGGTGTACATACACCTACAAGCACAGCAGCAAGACACAAGCTGTTAGCTGCTTTCCCTTGCTGTTGCTGCTGCTGCTGCTGCTGCTGCTGCTGCTGCTGCTGCTGCTCTTTATGGTTCTGCAGTTGCTCTGGCTGCTGCTGCTGCTGCTCTTCTCTCTGCTGTTGTTACTGCTTTCGCTGCTGCTGCTGCTAGCGCTCTTGCTGCTGCTGTGCTGCTGTTGCTGCTACTAGCAGCAGACATTCTGCTGCAGCTGCTGCAGCTGCTGCAGCAGCAGATCCAGGAAGGGCAGCAGCAGCACCTGCAGCTGCTGCGTCAGCCACAATTGCTGCTGTATCCTCGGCGACTGTCTTGCGGCTCAGCAGCAGCAGCAGCACCAGCAGCACCAGCAGCAGCACCAGTAGCAGTAGCAGCAAGAGTAGCAGCAACAGCAGCAGCAGCAGCAGCAGCAGCAGCAGCAGCAGCAGCAAACAAGCTGTACACATGGAGAGAAGGAAGTATGCACTCCTATCTAATAAACAAACAAATAAAAAACTAAATTAATTATTTATTTAATTATTTATTTATTTAAATAATTAATTTATTAAATTAATTTCTGTATAAACACAAAAACAGCAGCAGCAAATCGGCACTCAGCAAGCCGTGTCGGCTGCGGCCCCACGCATGCAGCCGACAGCAGCAGCAGCAGCAGCAGCAGCAGCAGCTGCTGCTGCTGCCGCTGCTGCTGCTGCTGCTCGGCGAGTTAAATAGAAATTTTGTTGCGTGTGTAGCTAGCTAGGAGGTTTATCTTTTGGTTGCTCTTGCTGCTGCAGCAGACAGTGGTGATGAATGCGGCTGCTGCTGCTGCTGCTGCTGCTGCTGCTGCTGCTGCTGGCTTCGATTCTTGCTGTGATCATTGCTGCTCTCGATTGCTGCTGCTGCTGATTGCTGCTGTTGCTGCTGTTGCTGCTGCTGATTGCAGCAGCAGCAGCCGCTGCTGCTGCTGACAGGAAAGCCCAGATGCTGCAGCAGCAGCAGCTGCTGCTGCTGCAGCAACCCATGGCCCCCGTAGGACCTAGACGGGAGCCATGAGGCCTCAGCAGCACCGACACAACCTGCTGCTGCTGCTGCTGCTGCTGTTGCTGCTGCTGCTGCTGCTGCTGCGGGATGCTCGCGTGTGCTCTGCCTCGCTGCAGCAAGACCAGCGCCATGGCTTGTCCTTTAGTGCTGGCGCTCTAAGCAGCAGCAGCAGCAGCAGCAGCAGCAACAACAACAGCAACAACAGCAATTGCTACTCGAGCAGCAGTAGCAGATGCATTGACCCCAACAGCAGCAGCAGCAGCAGAACCAACAGAAGCAGCAGCAGCAGCAGCAGCAGGAGCAGCAGCAGTTGCTGCTTTGTCTTCAGGGCATTAGAAGAAAGGAAGCAGCTGCTGCAGCCGCCGCCATGCAGCAGTCGTTGTGCTGCTGCCAGCAGCAGCTCCTTGACCAGCTCAGCAGCAGCAGCAGCAGCACCAACAGCAGCAGCAGCAGAAGCAGCAGCGGCAGCAGCAGCAGCTAGTGACAGCTGGGAGCCCACAAACCCCTCTCTGCGGGATTTGCTGCAGCGGCGGCTGCTGGCGACGGCCAGCGACCTCAGGGCGCTCGACTGTCTCCTCAACCACAGCCGCAAAGCAGCAGCAGCAGCAGCAGAAACAGCAGCAGCAGCAGCAGCAGCAGCAGCAGCAGGACAAGGGCAGCCTCAGACAGCCATCGCAGCAAAAGATGCTGCAGCAGATGCTGCTGCTATGCAGCTGCTCGAACCTTTTCCACTCCACGAGCCCAGCAGCAGCAGCAGCAGCAGCAGCAGCAACAGCAGCAGCAGCAGCAGCAGCAGCAGCACAGGTATGCGTTCAAGTTTGTCTTTTTATGTTGGTATTGATATGACGGGGCCCTCACTGCATGCGGGCCACTTGCTGCCGCTGCTGCTGCTGCGGCGGCTGTGGCTGCAGGAGGGAGTGCAGCCGGTGCTGCTGCTGGGGACAGCAACAGCTCGCATCGCGCTGCATGCACGCAGAGCTAGCAGCAGCAGCAACAGCAGCAGCAGCAGCAGCAGCAGCAGCAGCAGTACTGAGGAGACCCTGCTGCAGCTGCTGGGCTGCGGGGGCTGGAAAAGATACGACGCCGAGATCGAAGCAAACTGCAGCAGCGTGCTGCAGCAGCTGCGGCGCATATTCACTCCCCCGACCAAACAGCAGCAGCAGCAGCAGCAGCAGCAGCAGCAGCAGCAGCAGCAGTTGCAGCTGCCTATGCCGTTGGTGGTTAGGAATGATAGGTGGCTGGAGAAGATACCGCTTGGGGCTTTCCTTGCATGCACTGCTCCTCGGCTGCCCCTGGCTGATATTCTGCCGCGAGCAGCAGCAGCAGCAGAGAGACAGCAGCAGCAGCAGCAGCAGCAGCAGCAGCAACAGAGCACAGCAGCAACGTGCAGCAGCAGCAGCAGCAACAACAGCAGTATTATAGAATGCGATAAAGCTGTAGAGAGTTTCAGTGGATCTGTGAATACAGCTGCTGCCTTGCTGCAGCAACAGCAGCAGCAGCAGCAGCAGCAGCAGCAGCAGCAACTGGGTACAGGTAGTGGAGCAGCAACAGCAGCAGACATCGGCTACAGTTTGCTGCAGGCCCTGGACTTCGTGCTGCTGTCGCGGTGTCTCCGCTGCTGCTGCCAGATTGGGGGCCGTGACCAGTGGAAGAACATCGCCACGGGGCTGCATGTAGCTCGCAGGCTGCTGCAGCAGCAGCAGCAGCAGCAGGAGCAGCAGCAGCAGGAGCAGCAGCAGCAGCAGCAGCAGGAGCAGCAGCAGCAGCATTATGGGGGGCTTCAGCAGGAGCAGCATGAACAAGTGCACGAACAACAGCAGCAGCAGCAGCAGCAGCAACAGCAGCAGCAGCAACAGCAGCAACAGCAACAGCAGCAGCAACAGCAGCAGCAGCAGCAGCAGCAGCAGGAGGAGAATATATTGGTCGGCATAACAACAGAGTTATTAGAGTGTGATGAAGGGATAAAGATAGGAAAAAGCAACAAAAATAAAAACAAAAAATACACACCGTGGCTTGCTGCTGCTCGGTGTACACCCGAACATTTCTGGCAGATATGGAGAAACATTAAAGACACAGAAATACAA